TTAAAAACATTATTATCACACAGGCTTCCTTTGGTACTAATATGACGATCAAGTTATAACACTCATTTTTACAGGATTTAATATAAACAAAAATTTGTCATTGCTTAATGCATTTTTGTCGATAAAGTTTATAGTAAATTAAATCATTTACCGATGTGGCGTCTCAGAGAACGAGACGCCACGCAAGGTGCATCGCTCCCAGTTAAAGGGACGCTTACGGAGCGCACCTTACGCATTGTCCTTTCCAAGAACCGCGAGGCTCGCGACGCGTTTCCGAGAAACGCGGCGGAGTGCGATAAGCTCGAGCCCGCGAGAATTCGCGAAAGCGCGGACCGGCACGAAATTCGGAGAATCGCGAGCCTCGAGACTTTAGAAGAGGGGCAATGGTCAATGCGAGCCCGCGAGAATTCGCGGAAGCGCGGACCTGCACGAAATCGAAGAATCGCGAGCCTCGAGATTCAGAAGAGGGGCAACGGTGAATGTGCAAGCCCGCGACGAATTCGTGGAAGCACGGGACCTACATAAATTCGAGGAATCGCGAGCCTCGCGATTTTCGCGGAAATGTAAAGCACCAATACTCCACACAATTAAAGGTCTGGAGTATAAATAGCGGACGGAAACGCCGGAAGAACGGACTCCGCTCTCAACCTCCACAGAGGAACGATCTACGAGATCAAAAGCAATAAAGAGCCAATTCTCCTCTAGGGAGACAACTCGCACACCATAAGAATCCTAGGGCAGCACCCTGAAGCCCGACAAGCAACAGCCTCAGGGTGAGGCTAGAGAAACCGCCCGCTCACGACTCCGCGAACAATATCACGCATTGTTCGGGAGCGACAGCGATGATTATGCTGACGAGGAACCTGTAGGACCCGAGCTCGGCTCTCCGGTTTCCTCCTGGTCCTCCCTGCCAACGACGCCGTCTCCGACTCGCATACCCCGCACACCATCACCACGGAAGCGACTGCGCACCGGGGTATCGCTCAGGCGGCCCGCATTAATACCGAACGAGGACCCAGGAAGAGAGGAAGCGGCAACACTACATCCATGGAGACTGACGCCCTTGTGCCTCGCTCCAGTTAGGTGCACCCGGCCACCACTGGAGAGGCTCACGACGTGGGACGTGAGAGCCCGCCGACCGCTCTCACCCCGGTACCTATCTCCATTAGAAAAGGTGTCCACGGCCCAGGTTCACCAAGCCACACAGACGTCGCCCAGAAAGCCGACTCTAGCACCAGGCGTCGTCAGGATCCCGACGACGCCCAAAAACCCGGATCCACGCGTCCGACAACCAGGGTCTCCACGCAAGCAAGCACGGCCGGGGAAGTTCCGAGCCCACGTCGGCTCACCGAAGAAGCCCGCATTACGCGGGACCTTCCAAAGGTCGAAACGATCTCCCAGGATCCGGCCCTGGAAGGGAGCCTCGACAATGAAATAACACACATACACACAGACACACACACCAACTGTACTTAAAATAAAAATGTTCTGGTTTCCGTAAACGGAGCATAATTATTGAATATACTTTCCCACTGCGAGCGCTGTAGAATAAGGCTAAGATCTTATGAGCGATACTAACGCAACCACAATATATGTTGGTAAAAAATTAAATGTTGGTATATAATATCGGTAATAAATTAACGATCGTTGATATTATCGGTAATTATATGTTGGCAAAAATTATATGTTGGTAAAAATTATATGTTGGTAAAAAAATTAAATGTTATATCGGTAAAAATTACCGACCGTCGGTAACATCGGTATGCCCCCCCAATTACCGACCGATGATAACCCCTCCCGCGGTGACGGCATACCCCCGGCCGTGCCCCCCCCGGTGACGTCATACCCCCCTCGCCCGCGGTACCCCCCGCCCCTCACCCTCCCTCGGAGGACCATGGGTTAGAACCGGCCTATAATACCTACTCAGCTAATCTAATTTCTCGTTCGTACTTTTTGAATGTATTGAAATCAAAACATGGGATGTTCATGCATGCAAATAATTTTTTAAGATGTGTCCACCTTAATCCAGAATGTAGAATACTTAAAAAATAATCAATTGAAAAAATATAATTAATAATTATAATAATAGAGTTTATAACAGGATGAAATCGACAACTTGAGATAAAAAAAAATTGTAATACCTAATGCTGCTTTTAAATTTATTAGGTGGTAAACTTAGTTCCTGCGGTTTTTTTGTTTAAAAAACTCATTTATTTCGACATCAAAAGCAAAAAATACATTAATCGAAGTATTTTCCCTCGCTAGCTATACATTTTTCCCATCTTTCGGGCAACGCGTAGATTCCGCGACGATAGAACGATTGGT